TGCGGGCCTTGGATGCGCCTCTTGGATCCCACGGGGCCTCAGGCAGGGCCCTGAAAGGGATGAGGGGGGGTCCCTGAGGGGGGTGCAGAGCCCCCCTGATCCCTGTCCCTCCCTCTCCCAGTATGCTCCGGCTCCAGAAGAGGTTGGCCTCCAGCGTCCTGCGCTGCGGGAAGAAGAAGGTGTGGCTGGATCCCAATGAGACCAACGAGATCGCCAACGCCAACTCCCGTGAGTGGGGCATGTCCCGGGGACTGGAGGAATGTCCTGGGCACTGGGGGGGAAATGTCCTGGGCACAGCCCTGCCCGAGGGGCCCTGGGGGAAAGGGATCCACCAGCAGAGCGGGAAGAGGGCTTTTGGGAGGCTCAGTGACAGCGAGGTTGGTTTAGAATCATAAAACCATTGAGGCTGGAAAAAGCCTCCCAGGATTGTCAAGCCCAGCTTTTGCCTTAGGTGAGATTCTGGCTCGGGTAAAATTCTGCCACTTGAGGAGCTTTATTTTCCCACCTCCAAGTGGGGTTTCCAGGGTTTTCAGAGCTCCCTGGTGCCCTGTGAGATAATCAGTGAGGGAATTGGGAGATTCTCTGGGAGATTTGGCAGAGAGAACGGAGCAGCTCCAGCAGCGTGAGGGGCTCTGTGGGGAGACCCACCTTCCATGGCACTCCCAGCCTTCACCCAGGGGGGACGAGGGGGGATCTGTGCTCACCTGAGGGCTCCAGAGGAGGTGTTGGCCGTGTTTTGCAGGGCAGCAGATCCGGAAGCTGATCAAGGATGGGCTGATCATCAGGAAGCCCGTGACCGTGCACTCCCGCGCCCGCTGCAGGAAGAACACGCTGGCCCGCAGGAAGGGCCGGCACATGGGCATCGGTGAGGGCTGCACCCCACACACAGCAGGGCACCAGGGACCCCCAGGGGCAGCCCCCACCCCGGAGAGGCCCTGTGCCAGTCTGGGGATTCCAGAATTTTAGGCTACCCCTAAAATTCAGCTTCCCCTCCCCTCCCGAGACCCCCAGTTTGGCTGTGACTGTTCAATCCTTGATCCTGGGCGGTTCAATCACTTCCATCTAAATCCAAAGCTGTACTTTTTTTTGTCTTTTAGAAACCTCCCTGATCAGCTTAATTTAAAAATTAACGTTGTACAGGAAAATGGGAATGTCAGTTCAACGTGGCTGACTCTGATTTCATTTGATGATTGCGGATATACATCCCCCACCAAACTAGAGTTTAAATATTTAAATAATGAAAGTAATATAATAAAATATAATGAAAGTGCCACACACAGGGACCCCCAGGGCCGAGGGACCCCTGGGAATGGGGTAAATCACCCACTTCCCGTGGTACCTGGTCCTGCTGCTCCCTCACGCTGGGGAATAAATATCCCAGTGGGTTTGGTCACAGAGATGGAAAACCCTTGGCTTGGCTGTGGATGGTTTTTAACTTGAGCTGAAGAGGGGGATTAAACGCTCTGGGAGGAGTTTGGGGTTTAACTGGCGGGTTTTGGGGCTCGCCCTGCCCAGGTAAGAGGAAGGGCACGGCCAACGCCCGCATGCCCGAGAAGGTCACCTGGATGCGGCGGATGCGGATCCTGCGGCGGCTGCTCCGGAGGTACCGCGAGTCCAAGAAGATCGACCGGCACATGTGAGTGTGGGCACGGGGCTGGGGGGGGCTCTGCAGGCCCAGGGGGGAAGGACATGGGGCTGGGGGGACTGGAGCTCACACCAGGGAACCCCCCGGAGCTGGGTGAGGCCCCCACGGGACACCCCAAGCAGCTCCTTTCCAGACCCATCCCAGCACTGGGAATGGACAGACAGGCACAGTCTCCCCCCTGAGCTCTGCACAACCTCCGGGCCCACCTGGAGGGGCTTAATAAAGGGAGGGGTCCCACCCACAGGAAATGGAGCTGAGACCCTCCCACCTCATCACACAGGTGATGGGACCACCTGGGCACGGGGCTGGAGAGGCCCCCGTGTGTGACATTCCCTTGTCACATCCCAGCGTCACCCTGAGTGGGGGCAGCACCCACAGACACCCCACCCCCAGTTTGCACCCCAAACCCCCCCCCAGTTTACATCCCACACACCCAGACCCCCTTCCTGCCGCCCCAGCTCCTTGGGAATGGAGTTAAACCCTCCCTGGGCTGATGTCCCGCCCCGTCCCACCCCCGCAGGTACCACAGCCTGTACCTGAAGGTCAAGGGCAACGTGTTCAAGAACAAGCGGATCCTCATGGAGCACATCCACAAGCTGAAGGCGGACAAGGCCCGCAAGAAGCTCCTGGCGTGAGTGCTGCCCTGGGCAGGGGGGGTTTGTCAGGAGTGACCCCTCCCCGTGGGTCATTCCTGCTGGATTCTGGCCCTGGTGGGAGGGGTCGGTCCCGAACTGGGCAGGGCTGGCTGGAAGCAGAGAAATGTGGGATCGTGGTGGAGTTCTGTGTTTCACTGGGGGGGTTTAATGCTCAGAGGGAGAAACTGGGAAATTCCTGAGCAGCTGCTGGAGTCGGGGAATGATTGACCAGGGGGAGGGGAGAGATCCCAAAATCCTGGGGGGGAAAGGCTGAATAACTTCACCCTGGGATTCAGTAAAGGCTGTGACCCCACACAGCCCCTGCTGGCTCCTCCCGGGCCAGAGCGAAGGGAAAACCCCGAAATCCAGTGGGAGGGACGTGGGTGCTGGAGCAAGGCTGGTCTGGGACAGCGGGAGGAGACTGGGGACAGGGGTCAGGGTGGTTTTGGGGCTGTCTGAGGTGCTCCTGCTGCACCCAGACCCCTCGATCCCGCAGGGACCAGGCGGAGGCGCGGCGCTCCAAGACCAAGGAGGCGCGGAAGCGGCGGGAGGAGCGGCTGCAGGCCAAGAAGGAGGAGATCATCAAGACCCTCTCCAAGGAGGAGGAGGCCAAGAAGTGACCGCGGGCTGTCCCTGCCAGGGAGTGTGTTCCAGCTTCCAGCACCCAATAAAAAACCATCCGGGACCCCTCCTGCTGAGTGTCCGTGTCTGGAGCGGGGAGGGATGGGATGGGATGGGATGGGATGGGATGGGATGAGATGTGGAGGAGCTGCTGCTGCTGCTGCTCCCCAGTTTGGGGCTGGATCTACCCCTGGGGCTTCCAGGCAGGATTATGGGGGGCTCAGGGAGCCAGGAGGTCCTTGGATCCATCCAAAATCCCCCCAAAGGCTCAGGGCAGAGCTGATGTCCAGGGGAAGGTTTTGGGGGTTCTGCACCCCCAGAGGGGAAAGGACCCAGGGCTGGGGGAGGGGACTTAAGGTGGAGCTCACACCAGGGAGCCCCCCAAGAGGTGGGTCTGGTCCCCCTAAGACACCCCAAATTCCCCAAGCAGCTCCTTACCAGACCCATCCTGGCCCTGGGGATGGATGGACAGACGGACACAGCCTCCCCCAAAGCTCTGCACCACCCCTGGGCCCACCTGGGGGGATTTATAACCGGGGGGGGGTTATAAATGGAGCTGAGACCCTCCCAGCTCATCACACGGGTGGTGGGACCACCTGGGCACAGGGCTGGGGGGGAGAGGTCGAGTGTCCCCAAAGTGTGACACCCCCTCATGTCACATCCCAGTGACACCCTGAGGGGTGGGGGAGAGCAGCCATAGAAACCCCCCCCCAAAATCTGCACCCCAGGGAGGGGCTGGTTCCCTTAATGCCTGTGGGGGGGGCTCAGTGAAACACCCTTTTTCTCCCCAAAATGAGCCAAATCTGGGGGAAATTAAAGGAATTAAAATGAGGGACACACACACACACACCAGGGGAGGGTGTCCTTGGCTGGGACAAAGGGACTCGGGGAGTCCCCCCCGTGTGTCCTCCCCTCCCTCTGTGACAACAAACACGGTGCCCCCTCCCCCCCCCCCCACTATTTACTGTCAACACCTCAAACTGGGCCCAACTGGGGCAAACTGGGCCCAACCCCGCTTACATCACCCCTCCCTGTGCCTATAAATCCATGGGGGGGGCACCCGCCTGTCCCTCTCTGCTGCCACCCTGTTCGTTGGGTGTCCCCCCCTGGAGGCCCCCCCCAAAATGCTCTTCTGGCACGGCCAACCCGACCACTACTGGTCCAGCGCCGGGGACATGTACCCCCTGCCCCCTTCTGGGGTGCTCAGGTACCGCTCCCACCCCCCAAATCCGATGCTTTTGGGGGAAACCGAGGCACGGTTGGGTGCCCACCTTTTTTTGGGGGATTGTTTTCCCGCAGGGACCCCCCCGTCCTGCCCTACCTGAAGCAGGAGGAGCCCAACGGCATCTCCACGTCCCAGCCGGAATTCCCGGCGTTCCAGTACATCCTGTGCACCCCCACCTCCCCCGCCGTGCGGCACCACGAGGAGACCCTCACCTACCTCAACCAGGGTGAGTCCGGGGGGGCTCTGGGGGAGGGACGCGCCTCTTCCCCGGGGCCTCAGCACCCACTTTTCCCCCCTTCACCCACCCCCCCCCCCAGGGCAGTCGTACGAGATCCGCATGGTGGGGACCCCCCGGGGGGACCCCGCGGAGGGACGGAGGATGGTCAAGGTGAGCCGGGGTGGGGACCCCCAGGACGGGGAGGGACGTGGGGAGGCTCGGGGCACAGCTCTGGGCTGCAGTCCCGGTTCAGCTGTGCCAGAGCCCCCGCCCAGACTCAGTTCTGTCCCAGTCCAGCCCCAACTCGGCCCCAGTTCTGTCCCAGTTCTACCCCAGTCCAGCCCCATCTCAACCCCTCTTCATCACCAGCTCTGTCCCAGTCCAGCCCCATCCCAGCCCCAGTTCTTCCTCATTTCTGCCCCAGTCCGGCCCCACCTCAGCTCTGGTCCGGTCCCAGCTCAGTCCCATTCCGGCTCCAGTTCAGATCGGGTTCAGCTCCAGTTCAGCCCCATTTCAGCCCAGCTCAGCCCCAGTCCAGCCCCGTCCAGCACAGTCTCCTGTGGGGCCGTGTCCGTGGGCTCAGCCTGTGTCCGTGTGTCCGGCCGTGTCCGTGGGCTCAGCCTGTGTCCGTGTGTCCGGCCGTGTCCGGCCGCGGGCTCAGCCCGTGGCCGCCGCTGTCCCCAGAGCGTGGTCCGGGTGTCCTTCCACGACCGGCGCCTGCAATACTCGGAGCAGCAGCAGCTCGAGGGCTGGCGGTGGAGCCGCCCCGGCGACCGAATCCTCGACATCGGTGGGTGCCGGGGCCGGGGGACCCCCGGGTTGGGGCTGCGGGGGCCGCGCTCACCCCCCTCCCGCAGACATCCCGCTCTCGGTCGGCGTCCTCGAGCCCCAAATCCACCCCACGCTGCTCAACACGGTGGAATTCCTGTGGGACCCCTC